CATTACCAAACTATGCTAGTATAACATTAGCCTGCTGACATTAGACGTTAGCTAGCTGGCTAATAAATCTGAGAATAACATCAACATGAACTGCTTTCTTCACTTTCCTCACCTCACTAAAGACGGCCGGGTCTGTTGAGACTCCATTGAGATTTGAACGTTAGCTGACTGTTGGTCGGTCTCGCGCTGATCCGTTAGATTTTGAATTTTGAGCGTGACCGAGCGCGCGGGCGCCAGCCATAGATACACATACCTAGATGCCGCGTTGTGTCCAGCCAGGCACGTCAACGGCGCCGCCATTTTGGGGCGGTCAACGTCACTGCTGGACTGCATTCAGTACCATTACAGAGCGGCAGTTTAAGAAAGATACTGTCCAAACTTACACTATTTCAGGAATATTACACTCAGAAAGTGGGATAGGATTATATAATGGAGGGAACACAGTGATCCACACTCATGTTTGTGTGATGTTTATGTGTAGATATGGCTGTGTGGTTGGTGAGGCACATAGAACCTGTTGATGTGATTGTGTTTCCTCGGGTATTATTGAGCACATTTTATTTTATAGTCTATTTACCACCTTAAATGGTGCATCAGCCAGCTTCTTGTTTGAATTTTCCCAGTCCACCTTAAATGGTGCAGCTTCAGGCGCCAGAAAGTGACTGCTGCACCATTTAAGGTGGAACGGAAAAATTTGAACAAGAAGCTGGCAAATAGAAGCCAACTTCAGCTTCGTCCTTCTTACTGTGTTTTGGGGGGTTATTTTATTGTTATGTGTATTAAGATTAGAAGTGATTCTCACATTGATGGATCTGCTGATGTGTGTGAGTTTGTGTTTTTACTCGCACTAAACCTTTAACGTCACGTGCAGACTGAATACTTTCCTGCTGGTCTGGACAGCTAATTATCACGATCAGTTATTAAAGAAATAAAAGCTACCGAGAGCAGAGCAGCCTAGATTAATCTGTGTCTGAGGATTATAACAAAACAGATTTGGTGAAAATCGGTTCAGTAATAAGAAAGTTGTGGCTGATTTAATCCTGAGACTCATCGTCTCTCAATACAAGTGAATTTGTTCACAAGTGGATCTTGACCTCTCCAACATGGCGGACATGCAGACGTATCACCTCAGATAGAGAACAACAGACAACGCGGCATCTAGGAATGTAGATCTATGGGCTACAGCAAACAGTGATGATTGCAGCTGTGCTGGATTTTAAGCAATGATTCAGTTCAAGTATCTTAATAAACATTATTACAGAGCCCTGAAACGCTGCTGAGTATAACTGCTTTAAAACCTAAAACAGTATGATGGACTAACTACTTGCCTGGCCATAATAATCGCACAGCAGCCGTGCAGAGCAGAGCTGGTATATGTCAGTGTGAGCTCCAGTTGTTCCTGATAAAGTAAGCTAACTGGGGCTGATTTGTGAGGTACACGATGCTAGCTGGACCGTACAGGCTGATTTACAATTGGGAGATGTGCCCACTACTCCTTTTTAGGTGGTTCATTGTACAAAAAACACTTTTTACAATGGTGGTGATAGGAACCATGGGTTGCCATGTCGTCATGCAAGTGTAGCCTTTTTATTTACAACCCCATTTCCAAAAAAGTTAGGACGCTGTGAAAAATATAAATAAAAACAAAATGCAATGATGTGCAAACCATTTAAACCCCATACTTCATTGAAAATGCTTCAAAGACAACATATCAAATGTTGAAACTGAGAAATTGTATTGTTTTTTGAAAAATATATACCCATTTTGCATTTGATGCCGGCAACACGTTCCAAAAAGTTGGGATGGGGGCAACAAAAGGCCGGTGAAGTTGTGTGATGCTTAAAAAAACACCCGGTGGTTATTTGGCAACAGGTCAGTAACATGACTGGGTATAAACAAAGCATCCAAACAAAGCAGAGTCTTTCAGAAGTAAAGATGGGGAGAGGTTTACCACTCTGTGAAAGACTGCATGAGAAAATTGTGCAACAATTCAAGAATAACGTTTCTCAACATAAAATAGTAAAGAACATTTGCTTTTCAGCATCTACAGTACATAATAACATTAAAAGATTCAGAGAATCTGGAGAAATCTCTGTATGTAAGGGACAAGGACAAAACCCAATATTTGCCAGCCGTGATCTTTGGGCCCTCAGACGGCACTGTATTGAAAACATACATGATTATGTAGTGGAAATCACGGCATGGGCTCAGGAACACTTCTGAAAACCACTGTCTGCAAAAATTAATTTGTCGCTGCATCCACAAATGCAAAACTCTAAAACACAAAGAAGAAACCACATATAAACAGGATCCTGAAATGCTGCCGCCTTCTCTGGGCCCGAGCTCATTTAAAATGGACTGAGGGGAAGTGGAAAAGTGTCCTGTGGTCCGACAAATCAACATTGGAAATCATGGACACTGTGTTCTCCGGCTAAAGACCACTCAGCTCAGTTATCAGTGCACAGTTCAAATGCCAGGATTCATGATGGTATAGGGGTGCATTAGAACATTTCACTTTTAAACCTACAGCTATTGGTTCTCCTCAGTTTCCAAACGCTTACAGTGTTGTTAAAAGAAGAGGTGATGAAACACAGTGGTAACTTTGCCCCCTTTGCCCAACTTTTGTGGAATGGGTGTTGATCCCCAGTGAACTACTGGGGTTTACTATCCACCAGTGAACCTACATGTGTCTTATGTTTTATTATTTTCCCTATGTCAAAATGAGCAAACGAAGTAGTACGTGTGCTTTTAAGAAGTGTGTTCACTGTAGAGGGTGTGTTAACTTATTTTCACTTGCAACAAAACGTGTCATTTGACCTGGACACCCACACTTTTGCATACAACTATGCTGAATTTGGATAAATAAGCGGTGTTAGCTAGCTGCACTAAAATCAAAGCTTAGCAATATCAAGTTGTTGCCTTATAACCAAAGCTTAACATAAAATATTTAGCATACAGCTCATAACATGGTCATTTCATACTTTTTCCTGGCTGCCATTCTTGTCCCAAGCTACACCCATACTCACAGGTTCAGTAATGAGGAATGACCAATTGGACAGGACCATTTTCCCTTGCTTGGTCCTATATTGTTCCCTATATGTTGTGCATTTCAAGAAGTACAGGGACATGTCCCCCTGTATAAATGATGCCTATTCCTAAAGCCTGGAAATCACCAAACAGTGCTGGACTCCAGCCATGCAGGACCTTGGACCCCTGGGCTACTAGATTACAGGACAGTAGAGTGAGGGACAGTTCATGCATGAGGAAGAGGAGGGAGGGAGGAGGTAGGATCGTGTTTCTGTTCCTCGGTGCCTCCTTGGTATTCGCCGACTCAAATAGGGCCTCACATGCCACTTTGGGTGACAGGCGGAAGTACAGAGCTTTCCCAAGACACCGAATAAAAATAGGCCAGCTGCTATTACGAAAATACAGACGCACACTTGGCACTGTTCGGATTTACGTGTGAATATGGATAAAGCAGATACAATAGAAAAGGAATTAAAGTGCATCCAAGACATGACAGTCAGATCCAAGTATTCTAAACACACCTCAGAGAAATTCTCTCTTTTTTCCTCTGTCTTTCACACACACACACACACACACACACACACACACACACACACACACACACACCTGGAGGATGATTCACAAATGAACCATTACTTTTGAGCAACTCTTTTTCATGAGTTGCATGAATCGATTCACAAGAATCACTGAATCAAAAAATGTGAATATCCCCATATGGAAGTCTGATACATCGCAATATATGGATTTCAAATATGTGACATATATTAGCACATATTTCCTTTATGTCCAGCACGTATAGTTACATATTGACATATATGCGACATATATGCTAACCTTTTAAAAATTCACCAATTTCAAATATGGGACATATATTTCCATCATATATCAGCATGTACAAACATATGCATCTCATATATGCAACAATATATGATAGAAAGGATTAATCAAATAGAGATGGCATATATTACTCATACATGCTATGCAAGCGTCCTGGTATATAAGCTTTTCATTGCATTTATGTTGCAGTTGTGTTTCTTATTGATTTGTTACTTTAAAAAAGTACTTCAGTGTTTGTATCAGACATATGCCTTTCATATATATATATATATATATATATATATATATATATATATATATAAACATATATATATATATATATATAAATAGAGATAGAAACATAACTACATAGCTACCAGCAACCACCTGGGATACCATAGCAACTGCCTAGCAACATCTTAGCAACCACCTAGCAAAACCTTAGCAACGGATACCATAGCAACCACCTAGCAACATCTTAGCAAGCAGCTGTGCAATCACTCTGCATTTTTTCAGGAAATGCTTTATTATAGTTGCTAATACTTTCTCTCAGACCCAGACTAAGCCTAAACTTAGACTTAAAAGAATTTCCAAAGGTGAATCACTGCAGGCAAGGCTGAATCCAAGTAAAACTGAAATGCCATTACCACATAATACTCGTTCTTACCAACCAAACAGGTGGATATATGAACGAAAAGACTGTATAAAGCATTAAATTCCGGGTTGCTGTGGAGGCCGAAACTGCAGCCTTTTATTCCTGGATATTTCTGTCCACAATCCGCGGTGAATCGAAGGAATCGAAACACGCGGAGTTCGATTCACTTACGCGGGCGCTTCGAAAGAGTCGAGTCAGTAAAGTGACTCGTTAGGCTCCTCCTCCTCCAGACTTCAGCGCTGCTGCACAGCGCGGCTTCACTCCAGCCATTCACAAAATACCACGGTGTGGACAAGCCAGCGCGTCCGGACACGAGCAGTCTGCGGACCTCCTTCGCCGGACAGCCTTACTTTCTTCTCTCGTCTGTTTCTGGATGCTCTAATGGTCAGCAGTGGCGACTGCACGGGACCGGCTTTGAACTTGCGTTTATTTGAAGCTTCTCCTCAGCCTGTCCACTGAGCGAGGGGTGCATTTGCTTTTGCAGCGTTGTGGCGAGGTAAGTGTTTCAATGGACCCAAGTTGTCTGTGGACGCACAAGTGTGGTGGAACATGTTGTTCTCATCCTCACTGGTTGTTTTAATAGGTTAGCGTGAGGGAGAAGCTGCAGGAGGACCAGCTTAGTGGACTGACGGTGTGTTATGAACGGTTATTCATCTCTGTTTTGAAGCAGAGCTTCATGCTTTGCTGCTGAATCTACTTGTATTGACACCTGGGCCAGTCTTTCCTCTGGTAATTGGCCTGTAAAAGTGATGCAGTTGTTCGAGCTCCTAAAAAGTCAGTAAGCTCATTGCCTTAAAGGGGAATTCCACCAATTTTTTCCAAAATTTCTGCATAATTCACTGTACACTGAGGTGTAAACAGTCATTCTGAGTGGTTTGGCTTGTTTGTAGAGAAACTTACAGACTCTGATTTTCTTTACAGTGGTGGTGATAGGAACCAGAAGACGCAAGTACAGACATTTTATTTACTATCCAGAACCACCAGTGAACCCACATGTGTCTTATGAGTCTTTATATGGAACGTCGATGATGGTAAAATAGGCATAAATCAGAAAAATTTTGTTTTTTTTACGTTCTTTCTTTTGCCTTATAACGCCCTGCATGGATCCCTCCACCATGAATGAGTTTAAAATTATGCCAATTTTTTTATTTTTTTGAAATTTTTATTTTGGGTTTTCCTGTATGCATATATCATTCCAGTGAAAAAAATCAACATACCACTTAACGTAAACAATAATATAAGTAAATTGCAGGGATTGAAGTAGTAATACTAATAATAATACAGAGTAAATTGTCATGAGAATGGATTCCATTAAATGCCTATCATTATACAAAGTTACATCATGACCTAAATGGTACCAATAAAATTCTTTTGACATAATTACATATTCCAGAAGATTATAGTAATTCAACAAGTATCTAAGGTAATGTTTCCATGTGCCCAATGAAAGGTAAACCCTGAAGAATACCATCATAAAACAGTGTCCCAGACATCAGGCAGTGAATTCATACCTATTTCTTGTAATAACTTTCTGTGAGCTTTTAAAGGTGGACGTCTGGTTCCTATCACCACCACTGTGAACAATCCTGACTCTGCACGTTTCTCTAGAACGAAGCATTTCACACCAAACCGCTCTGAATGACTCCGTTTATTGTGCAGCCCTTAAGTCATACAGAAATTTTGAAAAGTCGTTGGAATTCCCCTTTAAAATTCTGATTTCAGTGAACCCTCTGCAGTTAGTGAACGCCTACACAAACCCAGGCACTGGTGGTGTCCAGACGCCATTGGGGAATTCGACTTGACTTGAGTAAAGAGGAAAAGTCATGATGATAAAGTCAGAGTCAGCGAATTCTATGTTGCGATAAGCTGAAAAAAGTCAGCCTTCGGTTTTGAGTTGAGTGAATATGCAGTAGTAACTGACAGGATCGTGGTGGCCTCTGAACACTGTTGGGAATCTGCTAGTGACAGTCTTGATGACTTAGTCATTTTTGTGACATCATAACCTCATTTAAACAAACTGTTGTTCTCTATTACAGTTCATATCAAAAACTGTCAAAAAAAACTTCTGATTACTGATAAAAGTTTATTGTCAAAATTCACAGTTAAGCTGCGTGAAGCTTTTTTTGGTGCTCATCTGAAGCTGTTTTCCTGTAAAAAGCTTCAAAAATGCACAAAGTTGCTGTTATATTATAAACAATTCCACTTTACAGTCGTGTGCAAAAGTTTGTGCACCCCCAAATAATGGCATTATGTTGCTTTTCTATCCTCCTTACTGTTTATTACTGTTTAATTTCACACTTTGGGGGGAGAAATATCCCATAAAATCTGGACTGTGCAAAAGTTATGGCTTTATTTTATTTTCTGGTATGTTAAACTTTGTTAAAGTTAGCAAATACTTCAAATCAGTATTATTTGCAGAAAAATGGCACAATAAAGTTTCCTTTACAGGAGTTTAAGATCATTATCAACAAAACCAACGGCATTGGACGGAAGGATGCTCAAACTTTTGCGCACGACTGTGAGTAGGACAGCGTATAAGATAAGGTTGAGTTTGGAAATGACACACAGCTGCTTTCGAACGGATCCCCTGCCCCTAGCGAAGGTCCGCGTGCTGCTCTGGCGCTAATCTGTTTAGTTCCACGGGGCGTAAAGGAGATTACAGGCTGTTATTCCGCTTTTTAAATCCATTATACTTTTCTCTTTTTTTCCCGAAGCAAGACGAGGAGAAAAGGTTAGTTTCTGTGAAGTAAGTGTGAAGAAGTACTTTGGATCTGGCGATTTTGGCCAGTAGGCTACTATTAAATGGGTGTAAATCTCCAAAAGTTGTCTAATTTGCTTGAATGAGGTTTTAAATGCTAGATTAGATTAAATAAAATCAAACAAACCTCCAAAAAGGAATGGTTCCATGACCTTCTTCAGCGTATCTTTTCTTTGGAATAGAATGGTTTTGCAGAAAAACATTGAATGTGGAAAATGGCTTTGTTGTTCTTTTAAATGGACTGGTCACTGAGTATGTTCGTGTGTTTTCCATGGCAGATTTCTCTCCTATGGTTTCTTATGGCTTTTGGGAGCCTTTCTGAGAGGATTCGGCTACCTTGCCAAATGATTCTATTATTGTGTTATGCTTTAATTCTCAAGGGTCAGGTCGGTTCAGCACAGTAAATTGAGTGGTGTCAGATGAACTCACCTGTGTCCAGTTCAACCCTGTGCGGTGTAACGTTTTCTCAGTGGAACACTTGCCTTTGTTTCATCTGCTTTCACTGCTGCGTAGGGGTGCACCGATTTGGGAACTGCAGGCCGATATTTTTAATGTGCATGTCTGTCGATACTGTATATATATATATATATATATATATATATATACAGTATTGTAATGTATCACAACATAATTATCATCATATAACGTCTATTTCTGTCAGGTTACAAATACAGTAAGTGAATAAAAGGTAGATGTTTTTAGCCCAAGTGTTCTGCTCTTCCAGAGTAACAACATCATCCAGAATAAATGGATGAAATGTCCATCAAATTCAAACAAGTGTCCAAAGATGTTCCATTTTTCAAAGCAATTATCTGACAAATCCTGTATGATTCTGATGTCATTGTTCATCCCTACTGCTGTTTCATAACACATTTGCTCTCTATAAGGGGCCTTTTTTATGTTTAGTGTTCTAGAAGTTCGGATGATACCCTGATGTTCTTGTAAAAGTGTATCATAACACTATTTAATATAATAACTAAGCTTGGAAGATTTGGCTATGTTGTTGTATTCCTAAGTCATTGCAGTAACCTATTTAGCGCCACCATGTGGCCAAATTCTAAAATGCAGCTTTTATAAAGAGGCCAAATTAGAATAAAAACTGGGGGGTAATGCACATATTTTAAGATAGATATGATTGTATTTGATTTTTAATATTTTAAGTGTTGATTTGACTCTGATAAACACATTTTTTTAAACAGAAGCCCAGAAATCACAACTTTAAGTGACTTAAGGAAACAAGCTCAGTCATTCAAGCATGAGTGAGTGCATAGCATAAGCCCCCCCCCCTTCTCCGCTTTATTCGATACTGTGTTAAACTGTGCAGAATTTCATTACATTTCTTTTTTGAATATCGAGATATTTTAAAAAGATCTAGAAAATGAATGTCGCCCAACTTTAACGATACCCGATATGTCATCGGATCGGTGCAGGCTGTCCTAGAGGTCCATGGAGGCAGCGGGATGTTGGCTGGCTGCCAAGGTGCCCATTTGCGTGAGGCAAACTTGAGCGAGGGATGACCGTGTGAGAAAAGCAAAGACAGGGATGGAGGGATATGGGAGGAGAGCAAACGAGGAGAAAAAGCAAACATTCCTGACTCAGTGTCTCAGCAATTTAATTAAGGGGCTGCGAGCTGCTGGAGTGGGCACTCAGAGGTGAAGGCTTTAAACCCCCCCCCCTCCACTACCAGCGCCCGCCCAACCCCGCTCTCAGCTTGGACTAATCCCAGGGGTCAGCTAATAAGAACTCGGGTCAGGCCACCGTGACAGCTAAATAGGGGGAACGTCAGAGTGGAAGCTTTACCAGCCACAGAGTTAATAACTGGATGATGGACGTAAGAAAACACTGAATAGGAGGAACTGTGTGCAGTAAAGTGTGAGAGCGTTGGTGGAGATGATAGTCAGAATGATAATGAGGGTAATGAGGTGACTTTTAATTAACCTAAAAGTCGGTAAAGTGACAACAACTCAGTTAGATAACAGTAGAAACCATACAGCATGACATACTGTACTGTACTGTACTATACTATACTATACCATACTACAGTTAGCATGGTGTTATACTATACTATGCAAACTATATGCCAGTTAGCATCGTGCTACCCTATAACATACACCAATTAGCTTCATGGTATACTATACTTACTATACCATACAGCAGTTAGCATTGTGCTACACTATATAGTAATTAGCACTATAGTGTTATACTATACGTACTGTATTATTTACCAGTTAGCATTGTGCTATACTGTAAATACTATACTAAAAAAGGAACCAATTAGCATTATGCTCTACTATGCATACTATACTATTCACCAGCTTGCGTTGTGTTGTACTGTAGACCATTTAGCATTGTGCTATACTATTTTATACACCAGTTAACACTGTGCTATACTATACATACTATACCACACCAGCTAGCATTGTCCTATACTATACTATACATTACTTTGAATTGCACTATACTATACTATACACTGATTAGCATTGTGCTATACAATATCTACTATATTTTAGGGCTGCTCAATAATGGCGGTAATCATAATCACGATTATTTTGGTCAGTGTCGAGATCACGATTATTATTCATAACGATTAATCGTTGACTGTGGAAACATAGTGCATTTGTTGAACTTTAACACTGCATTTCCTTGTAGTTTAAATGTAATTCAACTGACAAATAAAAAGTAAAAAGATAACGAAATGAAATAGATAATATATAATACATAAATATACATATACATTTTAAAAAGTACAAAAGAAAAGATTAAAAAATATAATATCAACTATGTTGCAGTGTACGTCCACAACTTACTGAAAGCTACTAAACATATATAAAAATAATAAAGAAAAATAAATCAGCTCAAAATAAATGAGATGAGTTTGGGCTTTCAGGGAGGGGCAAAAGCGCACCACTGTAAAGGAAATGGTGCGCTGGATTTATAAGGGACTCAATGCGAAACAGAATGTGCGATAATAATTGTTCTGTTTAGATTATTTTGAAAATAAAGTTCGATTTATCACAGATCCCTACTGTAGTTTACTCTACCATACACCAATTGCCACTATACTATGCTATATTATACTGTACTATACTATACTATACTATGCTATACTATATTATATTGTACTATACTATACTATACCATATTGCACCATATTATACTATACTATACTATACTATGTCACACTATACTATACTATACTATACTACACTATACTATACTATGTCACACTATACTATACTACACTATACAATACACCAGTTAACAAATATGCAATTATCACACTTACCGCAAAACACATCTGGTTGTTAAGTTAGCTCTATCAGACATGCCTTTGAGCTTTCTGGCACCGTATGACACTATTATCTATTAAAATGGACAAAAGTATGTCACACAGTGTCACTTTGACCACCAAACTTATCTTGGCCAACTGACTGCATTTGAGGATAAATGAGATTTTTTGCCAAAGTATCGCTTTAGAGGCTCTTTCTAAACTATACACCAATCAGCATTGTGCTGTACTATACATACCATATTTTATGCGATTACACCAGTTGGCATACTAAACTGTGCTATACTGCACACCAGTTAACAAGCGTAGAATTAGCACACTTGCACAAAACACATCTAGTTGTTAAGTTAGCTGAATCAGATATGCTTATGAGATTTCCAGCACTGTCTGATGCACTGGTATCTATAAAAGTGGACAAAAGTATGTCACACAGTGTCACTTTGAACACCAAACATAGCTTGGCCAACTGACTATATATGAGGATAAATTTGATTTTTTGCCAAAGTGTCGCTTTAAAGGTTCTTCCTTACAGTCTGTAGACAACTGGACTTAGTCTGGAATCTTGCTAATCATAGAATTAGCAAGGTAACTGGATGATGGAGGTAAGAAAAGACTGAAAAAGAAGGAACTGTTTATGTTCTGGTAGAGACGGTAATGAGAATGGTCTAATGGTTTAATTAACATATCACTACTGATAACATATCTCCATTTTTGTTGTTTTTCAGTTTTTGACATAATTTGAAATTACCTGTTGCTCTTTACATTGTGTGTAAATTTCATGATGAATGGACCAAAAGAAACGACACATAATTACTTGGAAAATCGTCTGGTTCCATTGACTTACATTAAAAGTGAAGAGTGTTTTTTCCTTCTCCTGTAAAGTTACCATTTTGGAGATATGAGGTTTTCTTCCGACAACAGTGCTATGAAGAGTCACACAAGTATCAGCCGCTGAATTAGAACAGTACACTCTGTTTCTGGACGAAAACATACTGTATTGCCTCAGCATGTTACCCCACTGCACAGGAAATAGCTTTTCCATTTTAGCAAGGTGAGCTCATGCTCCCAATAAGCCATTTTCTGCCAGTGAATCATAACCACATGTGTGGAGGAGATACAGATATTTATGGTGAGTGTCATCAGTTACTCTTTAGAACTGCTACTATGTCAACAGCATCTATTAGCTATAACCGATCAGGCATAACATTATGACCACCTCCTTGTTTCTACACTCATTGTCCATTTTATCAGCTCCACTTACTGGTCAGACACAGCAGTGCTGCTGGAGTTTTTAAACACCTCAGTGTCACTGCTGGACTGAGAATAGTCCACCAACCAAAAATATCCAGCCAACAGCGTCCTGTGGGCAGCGTCCTGTGACCACTGATGAAGGACTAGAGGATGACCAACACAAACTGTGCAGCAGCAGATGAGCTATCGTCTCTGACTTTACATCTACAAGGTGGACCGACAAGGTAGGAGTGTCTAATAGAGTGGGCAGTGAGTGGACACAGTGTTTAAAAACTCCAGCAGCACTGCTGTGTCTGATCCACTCGTACCATCACAACACACACTAACACACCACTGTGTCAGTGTTACTGCAGTGCTGAGAATGATCCACCACCCAAATAGTACCTGCTCTGTGAGGGTCCATGGGGGTCCTGACCACTGAAGAACAGGGTAAAAGGGGGCTAAC